TGTGTATGCACCCCTAAACACCACACACACCACACACACACTCCCCCCCCCATTAGTATTTACTGAGCAATTACAAAAGCAGCACATGAAAGAGAGAACTTTGTACAGTTCCCTGTGATAGATTATTGCAGCTTCTCAGCAAGTGCAATGTTCAGACACAGAATGTACAAATACTAAATTGGTCTTTTAGGATTTTCTCTTAAATACTTGCCTTAATGGCATTTTTAGCACCAACTCTTGCAAACTGATGCTGCTGGTATTGATACGAACAAAGAAATAGAGTACTAGATATGATCAGCTTCCCTATCCATCTGGCAGAAGTTACTTCTGTGACAAGTTCACAGGCTTGTGAGCCACCATTTCCAAAGCAGGATTCATGCAACAGGACCTTCCCAGCACAAGGCCCACTCTGTATAATGGCTTCCCTCCCCCCCGACAAAAGTGCTCCAAAGGTAACGTTTATATTCCCTTTCCAACTGCTAAGATGTTTCCTTAGAAACTACTAGCCACAGACATCCAACACCCATTGTAATGACCTCCTTTATGGAGACTTAATTTTAGCTTGCCGTCTTTCCGCAAATGACTACCTATATATGTTCTAAGGGTTTATTATGGGCCCTAGCTGTGCAAGGGTTTAGAAGCCGCTATTACCCTGGTTTTCTAAGGGGCCTGAGAGTCAGGTGCCTAAATCCCATAGATTTTTGGTAGAAATGAATGCCTAACCTCCTTCAGGTTTTATGGAAGAAAAAAAATCATGCTAGTATTTCTAAAACCAGATTTGTCACACCAGCTTCTTCTATTCCAGCTATTTCATGAGGTCATGCTTCCACCCAAACACTCTGAGGGAAGAGAGGGAAGGGACTTTTCAGACATGATTTGAGGAGCAAGATAACTATGACACTTAAACTCTATTGCTATGTACAGTAGAGGTGGGAGGGAGAAGTAAAAATTAAAACATTTCTGCTGATCTCTGGCTGTATTTTGCAGACAGAATAAAGTAAAGTGAATTGCTTTAGGCAAAAGTCCTTTCCTCTTGCCAACAAACAACTCGAGGGAGAGAGCAAATTGTAGACAATCTGGGAGGACGAGGGCCAGGGAAAATATATTTAGAAGATCCCTCTAAAGATATCTGAATGAATCCTTTGCCCAAGCAAAGATGATAGGGTATTAATAAGTTACAAAGAGTGATATGGCATTTACTTTCCAATATCTGACAGGCAGAAGGCAGCACTTGCCAGGAGCTTGTAAAACACTGTATGATTGTCAAGGCTCTTTTCCATCAATAGTAACAGGTGCAGTTGGATTGTATCAGCTGCTCCCAGCTCTGTAAAAAGATGCATTAACCACACCCCACCACCTCCAGGCCACTGCCTTTTCAGGCCAAGTACCAATCTGGAGAAGTCTTATTTTGAGAAGCAGACACAACGAGTTAAAGGCACCAAGGGGATTTTTATATTGCCCACTACCGAGATATGATCTACCCATGTCAGAGCAGTTAATGAAGTGACTGCCTATGGAACACAGTGCTCACTTGTTTTCCCAGGCTATACTCAGCAGCATCACCTGGAGAGCAGTAGGAGGTTTAGGAATCCTTCTAGTGATACCTGAACAGTGATCTGGCTGAAGAGGAGCTATCTGGAGCTCAACCTACTAAATATAAATCTGTCACCTTGGTTATTTTCTCCTTCACTTTGGTAGGAGGTCCAGATCTCATTTCAGGGACTGGAGCCCTCCAAACTATCAGTGCAATTAACCATCTTGGGCAGGAACCATCTGGGAACTGGCTGATTTACTCCCAAGACAAAGATTTGGGATACTGTACTTGGGACTTGAACTAAACTATGCTTGAACTAAACTAGTGAACTTTCCCTGTTCCTATTTCCAAGGATCCCTCCATTTCAGTGGGTGGAAATCTGTCTTCAAAGTGGCTCCTTATACTGCCAGCAGGACAGTCTGTTTTCCTCCTCAAAAAGCTGGACACAAAAAGAAACAGTATTTTGAATAAGACATATTTGATAGCAGGCAGCTGTGCACAAAATTTGTGTGTGCAACTTTTGCAGGGAATACTGGACTATGACTGCTTGCCTTTGTAACCTATTGGTTAGTGTGTGGCTTATACTCCTTCTGGTAGGCTTAAGGAGTGAATACTGACATTTCAGAACCCTGAGACCACAGGAGTGAACCTGTGCTTTAAGACTACCTGGAGGAGAAAGGGTCTTGGTTTAGTCAATTAAAACCTGGGAACTAATGTAGGCAATGCGATAACTTCACTCATTGGACTCCTAGCTACCTATGCCAGGTGCAAGGCTAGGTGCCAGAAGCTTGCTCCATACAATACAGCTTGCATCAGGCATCTACAGTGTGCAGGAAGACTGAGCAAGCCAGTCAGCTGAACTGGACTCTTCTGTGGTTACTGGATTCTAACAAGACCTTGCTTAGTCCACTGAGCCACTGATTGGGACTACACATTTTGATTTTGCTTTATGAAAGAAATCCAGCATAAAAAATAACCATTAAGAGTCCCCAGTTTAGTGCAGTCATCTAGATGTACATCTCCAGAAGAAATAGCATTCCCCCTTTCCTCCATTTAGTTAGAGATCTCCCCCTTACTGGTGAGCTGTCTGAGCTATTTAGAGAATTCCCCAATGTTTTTGCTCATAGTGGTCCCCAATGGAGCATTGAAATGTCCTCCCCCTGCTTAGTACGTACCAGTCCCAAATCCAGGCAGCTAATTAAATCTCATGCAATGGGAAATCACTTTTAAATCACTCAAGATAACAAAGCACAGTTGGGGAAGAGACCCAGAAGAACTTAAGAGCAAGAGAAGCCTTTTCTGCCTTGTCTAACCTGCACCAAAAAGGCATTGCTAGCAAAGCAGCTTGCCTTTCACATGGAGGAGGAACTAGATGAAGCATTAGTCTCACCTGGCAGGCACATGAGATAGAGGAACAGCATCCCCTACAGCCTCTCTCAGGAACTTGTACAATCCCAGGCATAAGACTGATATTGATAAGTATGCTTGGTTTTCTGCATCAGAAGAAGAATCACCTCGCCGTATCAATTTCCCTTTAGAAAAATAACTGAGGTACTATATTCAACATTGCCTCAATTTCCCCCCCCCCGATTGTCCCACTGTGACAGTTATCACTTCCTGGTGCAAAGCCTCATCTTAGCTGCCTTGACAAATGAAAACAGATGAGAATTTGTACACTGCATATACCCTGCTGATTTTAGCTGCCTGACCCACAAGTCATATTATAATTTGAAGTCATTATGCTGATATGGAATAAGAATGTAAACACAAAGTCAGCCCTCTGAGAAACCATTGTCCAGACAATACCTTTTACAGAGGAGCAAACTCCACAGGAAAATGAAATTAGAACACGAGCGGATATCAGATGCAAGGAAAAACATAATTAACAATCACTGTTCCTTTCACAAGTCGAGAGCTTTTTTAACTTGTTCATGAAGAAGTGATGAAAAGGACCGCCTGAGCCTGCCTGGCTATAAGAACTACAGTTAGAGTCTCTTTGTAGAAGGATACTGATCTTATAAACCACTGTCTTGTCTCAAATATTTTGTAGGGTGTTCCTGCAAGTCAAAAGCTTGACATCACTGGCTTAAGTCAGGCACTGTACAAGTGCCATGCCAACATACCTCAGTTCCACTTAGCATGTCCTGGGCCTTAGACCTGAACTGCATTGGTATGTGTGGTGATTCTACGATATGGACAGAATTCTGCTTTGGAGCAGACTGAAATCACCATATTCCCACTTGTTACTGAAAGTGGTATTTGAACCCAGGTCTCTAGAGGTAAACAGCTAAGGAATTAACCAGCTGCATCATCTAGCCCTTTACTATTGCATCTTTCTATGCAACAAGTAAACAGCTAAGCCCTACATTTAGCATGCTCTTTAGTCAGTATTAAATGATAATGAGCCCAAGACAACTTGTGCTAGCTTGGCTCTTACATTACTATTTGTCTGTCTTGAGAATTCTGAGACATTGGGAGCTTGTTCGGGGGCTCAGACACTCAAGGTGTCCTTGAACCCCCATACCTCCAAAACAGAGATTTGGAAGTTTTCAGAGCACAGTGGCTGATTATTGAAGGTATTGCAGTGGCTGGTTCTCCCATGGTTCAGGTCTGCATCGAGGTAAAGAGCTTGGCCATCACCACCTCCTGCAGAGAGAGGAAGAACAAGTGTTAGACTGATTTCACAGATGCAAATTCATGGAAAAGAGATGAGAAAACCAAGAGCAGTTTTGCGGGGTGTTGGTTGAGTTGTTGATTGCTGAGCTGAGAAAACCAAGATTTGTCTTAACATTTGATTGCCTTTGTGATGTTTTTAAAGAAGGGTCCAGGCAGCTACCAACTTCAATAACAAGAGAAAGAATATGGGATAGAAAAAGCCCCCAGGGAACATACTGGGCAATAAAGGAGTTGAGGGAAAGGAGGTGGGAGGGTGGGGGGGAGAGGGTAGAGTCCTACAAATGATAGCAATGGCACTAGTATGATCTTCTAGATGGTTGTAAAACAA